ATTAAACGAAAGGGACAGAAACAGCAGATGACGGAGGAAATAACCGTAGAAGAAGTAGGTCAATTACCTGCGACAACAGTTATAGAAGGACCAGTGGAAGAAATTGTCGAAGAAACGGTTCTTCCCGTTCCACGTCACGAATTTGCAAAGTCTCTTGAAGAGAAAGAAGTGAGTGAGCAAGTGACAGTGATTGGAAAAATAATCCAAGACGAGGTACCAAAACATGCCGCTAAAAAGAAAATTACCAAACACTTAATTCTTGAACATACGACAGACAGCAATGAAAATAAAGGGGAACAGGGGATAGAAACCACAAATTATCTTCATGCAGACACAACACCAGAAATACATGATAAACCTGTAAAAAAACACGATGGATTGATAAAGTATAAAGTCAATAAAGAGATTGTAGGAGGTAAGTTTGGTTCTTACATTTTATGTTCAGTATTGTTTACGTCTTGTTAAAACGTACATTTTTTTCTGTATCATGTTCTGACGGAAACTCTCAACAATGATTTTTAAATGAAAATTGGAAAGAAACAAAATAAGTCCACTATTGATTATCTACTTATACTAATATCGTACACAATATTAATAGTACTACACTCTTTAATCTACATATTATAATACAATCATTCCTTAAAAGCGTTTTCTATTATGTATCCTTTTTCTGATTTGTTATTTTTGTCTTTTAGGTACCAAAGATGAAATATATCAGGTGAGATAAAATAGAAACATTTAGTTTATATTTTAGTTAACATTTTTAGTCTATATATTATAGCATATTTCATATTTTTATTATATTCTTACAGGAAGAAGAATTATCTGACAATATACCTGCGGAAGCTGTAGATGAAATTGTGATTAAAAAAGCAGAGCTTCAAAAGGCTCAACTTCTTATAGATGAAGAAGGCTCGGTGGAAATTACGACAATTGATGTCAAGAAAGCACCAGAAGAGAAAATATCTATTATCGAAGAAAAAGAGAGCACTGAAAAGCCGATACAGAAAATTGCTAAAACAAAGAAAGTACCGAAGAAGAAGGAACAACGCCCTAAAGAAATCGAGGAGATAAAAGTAAAGGAAGTAGTTGAAATGCCAATCACAGAATCAATTAAAGAAAACAAACATGTGATAGAAACTACTGATGTTCTTGATGAAATTGTACAGGAAATTCAAATGGATATGCCAAAGAAAGAAAAGGCTAAATCTATGGTGGAAGCTAGAGAAGAAACTGTTATGATTACAGAATTAGAAACTATTGAGAAACCAGTGGCAAAAAGTGAAATAATAGAGAAAGAAGAAATAACTGAAATTATTGAAACACCAACCAAAAAGAGAATAAAGAGAAAAAAAGTAAAATCTCATGAAGATAATATACCCGAAGAAATTCTTGAAGAAATTATTTTAGAAAAACCAGATATGGAACAAGCTCGAACCATATTCTCTCCTACAGAAAGTATCGAAATTACACAAATCTTAACTGAATCATCCATTACTAAATTCCCAGATGATAAGACTACACCAGAAAAAGCTGCCGTGCACGAAATTATAAAGGAAGAACCCACATTAAAGAAAATTTTACAGGAAGAGACAAAGACTATTCCTGTTCAAGAAGAAATTACTATTGAAACTACTAGGGAAATAGTAAATGGAGAAAAACCAAAAGAAGAAGAAGTACAATTAACTATCATAACAAAAGAAGGGCTTAATGTTACTGAAACAATTTCAGACACTTCCACCGAAGATTTCTTCGAAAAAGTAAAACCAATAAAAGAAAAAATACTGCCAGTCAAAGAAGAGGAGTCACAAGTTGGTATAAAAGAAGTCATTGTGAAAACAGTACCAACAAAGGGTGAACCAATATATGCAAGTGAACAAGTTGAAGAAGGAACTGTCGAAGATATTACATCAGAAAGACCAATCCAAGAAAAAGCGGAAAGAACAATAATTACAAATGAAGGAATAAAAACTACAGAAATTATTTCCGAAATTACAACCAGTGAACTAGATAAAGGTAAAACACCACAAGAAGAGCAAATCATTCCTACACAAGAGACGGATGAAAATATAAAATCAGCAGATGTAATCATAAAGAAAATGCCACTTGTTAACAAAAAAGCTACAGAAGTGAAGGAAGATCGGCCAGAAGAAGCAGTGGAGGATATAAAAATAAAGAAACCTACAAAGGAAAAAGCTAAAAAGGATATACTTTTACAAGAAAGTGTTGAAATTTTGGAAGTAACAACAGAAATAAAACCTGAAGAATTTGTTACAGAAAAAATAATTATTGAAAAAGAAGCAGAAACAAGTGTTGCGCCAATAGAAACTATTAAGATTACTGGAGTTACTCCTGCTGTAACAGATGGTAAAATAACAGAGAAAGAAGAAGTAAAACCTGTGAGAATTGATGTTGAGGAAGAAAAAGAGAAAGAATTAACTCCAGTTAAAAAAGAGGTAATTCAAGAGGAAGATAAAATGATAGAAGAAATATCTGTCAAACCTAAGATGGAACAGACAAAAATAGATAAAGTTGCAGTAAAAACTAAGGAAGTGGCAGAAGTAATTCCAGAAACTAAAATGGATGATACTTTAATCAAGAAAAAACCAAAGGACAAATTAAAGGAAGTAACATCAATACGTCCCGAAGAAACAAAGGAATTTGAAAAACCGAAAGAAGAAATTGTGACCACTGTAGAAGAAAAACCTAAAAGTACCGAGAAAAAGAAAGAAAAGAAAGTTGTGAAGAAAAAGAAGAAGCCTGTCAAAACAGATATAGAAGAATGGGTAGAACCTGAGTACGAAAGACCTGTACTAGAGCCAATGCCAGAAAAAATTCAATGGGAACCAACGAAAAAGAAGGAAAAGAAAATATTACCTGAATCTGTTCAAAAGTTGATTCCACATAAGATAGTAAGAAAAGAAATTAAACCTACAAAACTACAATATATGGAACCATTCCAAGAAAAAGTTCAATTTGGTACAATTAAGCTGAAAAAAGTACCAATTATTAAGAAAAAAGCAATAACGGAACCAATTTTCCCTAAAATCATGTTACGAAGTAGAATTACATTTATCGGTGACTATCCGACAGAACTACAGATGCCAAAAATTACTTATATGGAAAAGAATCCCGTACAAGCCGGCATTTTATCTAGAAACACAGAAGAAGCATTAAAAATTATCAAGAAGCAGTACAAAAAGCCTAAAATATCAGAGAAAGACATAACTGAATTAGAGAAATTAGATAAAGAATTCGAAGAATTAAAGAAAGTTCCTTTGGAACAAATAGAGGATAAATCCATCTATGAACGTACACCCAAAAAATCCCAAGAAACGCCCAAAGAACCGCAAAAGCTTATTATTGGTAAGGGTGAAATAAAACAAGAAGCTAAAATTGTACCGGAAGATGTTAAACTAAAGAAAATATCGGTAGAAACGCCTGAACAAGTAACAGAAACTAAACAAAAACCTACAAAAGAAGAATCTCTAGAAGATACGCTTCAGAAAAAGAAAGATAAACCTAAAGAAACACTAACATTTGATGAATTTAAACCAACAGAATTCGATAGTCCAGAAATTGAAAAATATATACCTGAAGAATTTGAAACGCCCAAGAAACCGGAAATCGAACCTGTCTCAAAGCCATATGAACCATCTAAGAAAAAGAAACCTGAACAAGATATCGAGCAAATCCCTCTAATAAAGGGCATACCAAAGCCACATGAGCCCGAGGAGGAACCCGAGGTCAGGTTTCGAATACCAACCTCAGAAAAACCGGAAGATGAGCCTGAAACAATAACTTTAAAAGGCTGGAAAAAAGATAAACCTGAACAAGAAAGTTCAGAAGAATATCCAACGAAGGAAAAAGACGCTCCAAAGATGCCCAAAGACATTACTGATGAAGATACAGTAAAGCAGAAGATAAAACCAAAAAAGATTAAGGAGAAAACAAAGAAACTAGTTCCAGAGAAGGAAGAACATATACCAGAAGAAATCACTGAAAAAGTAACATTAATGAAACCGAGAAAAGATTCCCTTCAGAAAGAAATCGCTGAAGAAGTGACGATTAAAAAACCGGTTATCGAAGAAAGAACAGAAGATGGCAAAGAAGTCACTGAAAAAGTTACGTTGAAAAAGAAACCAAAGAAAAAACCTG